ATATTCATATATTCATATATTCATATATTTATAATTATTCATAACTTATAATTAATACTATAAAATTATACTTCTATATCTTTTTAAAGCACTGTGATAACAACATAACAAACTTTTTATTCTGTCTTTTTTTTTCTGTCTTTCCACACTCCAAGACCTTTGTACCAACACTCAAAGGCCTCTGAAAATAACATTTTAAACAAAAAAATCCAAGCAGAATTTTTGCTCCACAAATCCCTGGGCTCATTCCTTAGAAATCAACTCTGGGTTCTCACCTTGCTTTAAAATGCTAAAAAAAAAAAAAAAATTAAAAAAGATGATTTTGGAATGTGTAAGAAACCAACCTTGGGCCAATCAGGTTTCAGAAAAATGGCTCTTTTCCCATCAATGACAGCTTCCCTGAGAGAAGGGAGGGGAAAGAAGAGGGATTGATTATTTATTATTTATTATTTATTATTTATTATTTATTATTATTTATCGTTTATTATTATTTATATATCAGAAAACCTACAGCTGTAATAGGATAAAAGGAAAAATGGAATGAATAAAAGCGAATCATGGAATGGTTTGGGTTGGAAGCGATCCTAAAACTCATCCAGTTCTACCCCAAAAGGGGCAGGGACAGCTCCCACTGTCCCAGGCTGCTCCAAACCCCAATGGTTTTGCTCCAAACCCCAAAACTTGGCCTTGGACACTCCCAGGGATGGCACATCCATAATCCCAAATAACTGCAGCCACAGAATCCCAAATAACTGCAACCACAGAATCCCAAATAACTGCAGCTATACAATCCCAAATGACTGCAGTCCCATAATCCCAAATAACTGCAGCCAACATAATCCCAAATAACTGCAGCCACATAATCCCAAATAACTGCAACCACAGAATCTCAAATAACTGCAGCCACAGAATCCCAAATAAATCCACATTTCCAGCCCAAAAAATGCCATTTTCTTCCCCAAATCCCCCATTTTTCATGCAGGATTTAGGGGTTACTCACTGATACTGCCCGGTGAGGATGAAGCACAGAGCTCGGTTTCCATACAGGAGATGATTTGTGGGGCTTGGGAAAAAAAATTAATTAATTATTAATTAACTGAAAGCTTGAAARAGAAAGAAAAATTCAGTTTTCACGAGAATTGCCTGGAAAAATTCCACTTCCATCACACACAAAAAGTCCTATGGATTTACAAGGGGAATATTTATGAATACCATKAATATTTATTTAAATTATGTAATGWTTTATAAGGKTTGGGGTCATTGCTGCAATTTCCACTCAAATTTTTATGGAATTATTCCCAAATTACTCCAAGCTCGTCCCAAAAAGCTCTGCAGCTCCTGGAAATCAGAAGGGTCCTCTGCCCTCTCTGAGCCACAGCAATTCCTGATGTTTTCCTGGCTTTTTTCCTGGTATTTTCCCAGTATTTTTCAGGTGTTTTCCTGGTGTTTTCCCAGCATTTCCCTAGGGTTTTCCTGGTATTTTCCCAGTATTTTCTTATGGTTTTCCTGGTATTTTCCTGGTCTCTTTCTGGCATTTTCCTGGTGCTTTCCCAGTGTTTTTCCCGGTATTTTTCTAGGGCTTTCCTGATATTGCCCTGGTGTTTTTCCTGGTGTTTTCCTGGTATTTTCMTSGTAYTTTCCYMGKRTTTYCCCAGKGTTTTCCYRGTRTTTTCCYRGTATTTTCCYAGKRTTTTCCTRGKRTTTTCSTGGTATTTTCTTACAGTTTTCCTGGTGTTTTCCCAGTGTTTTTCCCAGTTTTCCCAGTATTTTCCTAGGGCTTTCCTGGTATTGTCCTGGTGTTTTTCCTGGTGTTTTTTTCCTGGTGTTTTCCTGGTATTTTCCTGGTACTTTCCTGGTGTTTTCCCAGTGTTCTCCTGATGTTTTTCCTGGT